AAGGGGGGGGGTTGAACTCCTGCCTCGTGGTCTGCGCGCCCCAGCCAGGCGAGCATTTCCTGGGCCCCCAATCCATTTCTGCGGGTCACCCCAGCACCCGCTGCCTGGGGGTAGAGCGGCCTGCAGGAGCCTCCCTGCGTGGTCCATAACTAATTCCCGGTCTTACTGAGCCTCAAGTCGCAGAATTAGGAAGGAAGTGACAGCTGCTTAATTAACTCCTTAAGCTGATTAGAGGGCTGCATTCAGCCCCTCGGGAGGAACCTGTAACCTCGGGGAGGACCCAGGACCATGTTTATTTTAGTTTTTAAATTTCGTTTTCCTCGTGATTTTCCAAATTCAGTGAGTAGCTCACCCGGTTAACCGAGCATTCCCGACGCCCTCAAGGACGTGGTCAAATACGGATCTTTATTGACCACACTAGCTGCCCCAGAAGGCGCCAGGCCAACAGCACAGACAGCTAAGAAACACGCGCCAAGAAAAGGAAAAACGAACCGACTGGGAGTTTCTCAAAAAGCCCTTCACGGCCCTGGCTGGTTTGGCTCAGCGGTTAGAGCGTCGGCCCGTGGACTGGAGGGTCCCGGGTTCGATTCCGGCCAAGGACATAGGCTCGAACCCTAACCCGCTGGGTTGGAGGCTCGATCCCCAGCCCCGGTCCAGGCGCCTGCGGGAGGCGTGTGTCCGTCTCTCTCACACCGATGTTTCTCTCTCCCCCCCTCCCTTCCACTCTCTCTCTGAAAAGGCGATGGAAAAAAATACCCCTGGTGAGCATGAACAAAAATAAAAATACTGGTTATTCATTAATTGTGGCTGGAACTAAAGTGTGCACATTTTCTTAGCAAGCCTCTCCTCCCGTGGGAAACACAGGCCCAGTGCTCCTTGCCCCCCACGAGCGACAGCGCCCTGCTGAGCGCTGCCTGCGGGGAGGGGCCTCTCCCTGCCCGGAGCGTCTGCTCCTCGCACCGGGCCTGCCTGCTGTCGCCTCCCCTGCGCGGCTGCCCCGTCTCCCTGTCACCGCGCAGGCGGCGTGTCCAGCTGTCAAAGCAACAGCGCTGTCCCCAGGCCCGGAGCAGCCTGAAGTTTCACGTACGTGAAAGTGAGAAGTTCACCCGACGGGCACAGAACCCAGGCAGGGGAAGAGCCCCAGCGAAGGGCTGCTCCGGGTCCCCTGGGCCAAGGGCGTGGAGCTAAAAGTGGCTGTGGCCTCGGGGTCGCGCCCCCCCAGAGGAACCGCGGGAGGCGGGGAGCCCCCCTGACCCCGAGGCCACGGGGACCTCAGCGGACGTGCCCAGCGGCTGGGGGCCGAGCTGATTATCGATGCCGGCGGCGGGTCCAGGGCAGCGCAGAGTCCAGAAGTCACCCGCGGGTTGGCCCCGAATCCACGATGAGCCTTTTCCTTCTGCCCCAGGCGACGTCTTAATTAATGCTGTCCTCGGGCCGATGCCGGGTGGGCGGGTGCGCCTCGAGTTCACGCCGATCGGGGAGAGGGGGGCATGCCGTTCAGATGACTCTCGCAGGCGGGCAGTGCCCCCCGGGGTTTAAACCGGCCGCAGCCACCCCTGCGGTGACACCCGCCCCGGGACGCGTGGCCATGGACGTGCCTGGCGGGTCTGTCCTCTGGCTCGTGGCGGCGGGGTGACGGGGTGACACCTTTCAGAGAAACAAGTCAGCAATTTTTATTTTTTTGTTAACCCGCACCTGAGGACATATTTTTCCCATTAATTTTTTAGGAGAGAGTGGGAGGGAACCCAGAGAGGACTGGGGGTGGCACCTGCGGCTATGACGTCAGCGCGTCAACCACGCCACGCCCAGCCCAGAGCTGACTGCAGGGGAAACGCACAGCTCTGACGTCAGCACGTCAACCACGCCACGCCCAACCCAGAGCTGACTGCAGGGGAAACGCACAGTTCTGACGTCAGCACGTCAACCACGCCACGCCCAGCCCAGAGCTGACTGCAGGGGAAACGCACAGTTCTGACGTCAGCACGTCAACCACGCCACGCCCAACCCAGAGCTGACTGCAGGGGAAACGCACAGCTCTGACGTCAGCACGTCAACCACGCCACGCCCAGCCCAGAGCTGACTGCAGGGGAAACGCACAGTTCTGACGTCAGCACGTCACCTTCGCCACGCCCAGCCCAGAGCTGACTGCTGGTGGCACCCTCGGCTATGACGTCAGCACGCCACGTGCGTCACGCAGGGCTCCCCGGGACCTCCTTCCTCTCAGGCTCTCCCGAGTCGGCAGGNGTCAACCACGCCACGCCCAGCCCAGAGCTGACTGCAGGGGAAACGCACAGCTCTGACGTCAGCACGTCACCTTCGCCACGCCCAGCCCAGAGGGGACTGCCGGTGGCACCCGNGCCCAGAGCTGACTGCAGGGGAAACGCACAGTTCTGACGTCAGCACGTCACCTTCGCCACGCCCAGCCCAGAGCTGACTGCTGGTGGCACCCGCGGCTATGACGTCAGCACGCCACGTGCGTCACGCAGGGCTCCCCGGGACCTCCTTCCTCTCAGGCTCTCCGGAGTCAGCAGAGAATCTGCGCGGGGCCGGGTTCTCTCTGTTTCGTTCACACCGGAAGCTCCACCCGCCACCCGTGGGTGCCCGTGGGTGCCTCCAGCGTCCGCATTCACTGGCTGGAACTGGGAAATCCTGTCGTCTTCATAAGGCCCCGAGCGCAAAGCGGCCGCCCCGGGTGCGCCCTTGCCCAGTTCAGCGCGGGGCCGGCGCCCCCACGGTTCTCTCTGGTTCTATTAATGAAGCTGGACTTTGGCAGGAACGTTCCAGCGGCCGTGCGGCCGCGACGGCATCGCCTCTGAAGAGTTCAGCTGGCCCGAGGGGTGCTGGTCAGCCCGCTCCCGGACCCTGGAGTCGGGCGTGGGCACAAAATGTAGGTTCTGCTAAACCTGAGGCCAAATACGACTTAGGAGAGTGAGCATGAAGAATTCGTAAAACGATGCCAGAAAAAAACAAAAAAAACCACCACATTCCAGCCTCTTTAAGGCCATGCAGAAGGGATGCTAAGAAATTAGAGAATTAAAATTAAAATAAGGGAACTAAAGCAAGACTCAAGGAACATGCCGCCGGTCATTTGCAAATCAGTGGAGGTTTGCAAATGCGGAATCCAAGAAGCTATAATGAAGCGACACGACCTGTCTTATGATAAGAGTCTTGGAGGCGACGCCCGAGCTTCTGATGCCCCCTCTCCGCGGGCTCGGCGGCAGCTGCTGAACAGCTCAGCTCTTCAGGCTGGTTCTGGAGAATTGATGTTAATGCCCACTCCCCGGGCTCCAGGAGAGACATCCCGGCTTGACTCTG